GGAATATGAACCAATATCAATTTATAAGGCCTATGTATATCTGTATAAAAGGACACGGAAGAAAAATGGACAGATTAGCAGTTTTTTTCCCCATTGTTCAAGTTCTTGTGAAATTACAAAGTATTAAGCCAGACATCATGGTACATGTCTTCTGGGGAAGTGGAGACAGAAGGATCACATTTTCAAGGCCAGCCCCAGCAAATGTAACCTGTCACAAAAAAACAAACTAACAAAAACCTGGGGGTGTGGCTCAAGTGGTAGAGCACTTGCCTAGCAAGCATGAGGCATGAGTCCCTGAGTTCAATCCCCAGTACTGTTTAAAGAAAAAAAAAAAAAAAAGGAAAATAAGAAAAATTATGAAATTTGTTATGATAGGGCTGGGGACATGGATTAAGTGGTAGAACACCTACCTCGCATGTATGAGTTCAAGCCCCAGTACTGCCAAAATAAATAAATAAAACCTGAAGAAGTATTTTATGATGAAGTATAGATATAACCTCCAGGATTTTTTGCATGCGTTTTTATTTTTTAATGAAGTCTGGGGAATGGTGCTTTCATGTAAATAGTTTGACCTCTTAATATGTGATTTTGACATTTGTAGGGTATGTTCTTTTGATTTTACATGAGATAGAGAAAAATTTCACTAGGATAAAGGATAACTATTAGTGAATATTTGGTTGTAATATCAAGTAAATACAGCCTTCAAAGTTATTCATCAATTGATGCACCAGGAGTATTCCAACTTAACCAATGGAAGTTTTCAATGATCTGATACAAGTTTAATTAAGAATTTTTTTTCCCTTTTCTGTTCAGGGCATGGAAATTTTCTGTCAGGTTCAGAGATTCAAACTTGAAAAGATGAGCTGGAGGTATAGCTTTAGTGGTAGAGTGGTTGCTTAGCATGTGCAGGCCATGGGTTCAATTCCCAGTACTGGAAAAAAAAAAAAAAGAAAGAAAGAAAAGCCAAATGCTTATCACCATATATAGAGTTTTTTAGTACAGAAAGAATTTTTTGTTTAGAGCTTTCTTATAATAGTATTTGTAATATCAATGTGCAGCTGTATCTACATGTGAGTAGATACTTAGTCATTATGAGATCAGAGTAAGTAGATTAATTTCTTTCATTCAGAAATCACTTTCAAAATATTTAAAATCAACAGCAAAAGAAGTATGAGACCTCTCTTCTTAAAAGGAAAACAGTGTTGAGGGAAAGGGCTAAGTAATCAAAAGATATACCATCCTTATTTATTTGAAGGCTTAATATTAGAAAGATGTCAGATCTCCAAATTAGCTTATCAATACCACTGGGTACTTTTGTAGAATTTGACAGTCTGGTTTTAAAATTCATATGGAAATACAAAGGACTAAGATTAACCTAAACAATTTTGAAGAAGAGCAAAGGTGGTATAGTTTACTGCATTAGTTGTTAAGATTTCCTATCAAACTACAGTAACTGTGATAATATGAGATTGGTGTATCACTAGACAAGCTGACCAATGAAACTGAAATAGGAGAAAATAATCACAATATTCATCAGATAAAGGATTAAAACAAAATATATAAAGAGGTCCAAGATTTAAACAGCAAAGGGACAAACAATCTAATTTGTCTACAAAATGAATTAAGTAGACAGTTCTCAAAAGAAATACAAATGTCCAATAAATATATGAAGATATGTCCAACATCCTTAACCGTAAAGGAAATGCAAGTCAAAACGACACTGAGATCCCATCTCACCAGATCTGGAATGACCATCATCAAGAAAACAAACAATAACAAATGCTGGCAAAGACGTGAGGGAAAAGGTACACTGTTGGAGGGAATGTGAACTAGTCCAATCACAGTGGAAAGCAGTATGGAAGTTCATCAAAAAAATTACAAGTAGAGCTATCATATGATTCTACTATACCACTCCTGGCATCTAGCTGAAGAAGTATACATACAATAGGGATTACTGCACATTCATGGTTATTGCAACACTATTCACAGAAGGTATGCTGTGAATTAGCCTTGGTGCACAACAACTAATAAATGGGTAAAGAAAATGTGGTATATATATATATATACAATGGAGTACTTTTCAGCCATAGAAAGAAGGAAAATGGATGAAAGTAGAGATCATCATGTTGAATAAGATAAACTCGAAAAGAAAAATATTACATGTTTTCACTCATGCAGAATCTAGACCTAAAAATATAGTAAGGCATGATTGTAAAAGAGGACAGTTTGGTGGGGAGAACTAGGGAAAGGGGAAAGGGAAAAGAGGTGTGTATGGTGGTGAAGTATATTATATGTGTGAAAGTAGCTTAATGAAATGTACTAAAACCTGTTAAAAGGGGGTGAAGAAGGAAGGGGTTTCGAAAAAGTAATGGATGAATTTGGTCAAATTACATTATATGAATGTATAAAATATCACAGTGAAACAGCTTTTTACAATTATTTGTTGTTAATAAAAAATGAGCGTGGATCCAGGAAAGCAGCTGTAGATCTATGCATACACATGGTTCTCATGTGTTTTAAAATGTCTTCTTTGAATGTTTCTTTTAACATCATTTTCCATGTTTTTATACTTCTACAAAGAAACAGATGGCTAAGTAAAAGCTGTTTGCCCTCCCCACTCGTTCTGTAAATTATCACAATTTTCAGATGACTACTTCCCCACAATCACCTGTGCTTGTCTGCATTGGCAGCCTATGAGGAGTCTTGCGTTCACAGCAAGAAAAGGGATTTAATCAATTTTCCTAGATGGGGAGATGACCTAGATTGTAGCCCTAACTCAAAGTATTCATCTCCAAACTCAAGTGCTCAAAAATACTCCATGAACTTTGCTGAGTTGAAGTACTCTAGGGAGAAGAGCAAAAGCTGGATGCTCCCTAGTGGGGCTGGACCTGCTGTGGTTATTCAGAGTGACTAATTCAATTCAGTGGATATTGAGTCAGTGACTATAACATACCTGACTCCATAGGGGATGCTATGACAAGCGCATGTCCTTCAGGTAAACTAAATCTTACAGGTTTTGAATCCTGAGAGGGGCCATGCAGACTACCAATGGCACAAGGCAATTCATGAAGTTTGCCCAATGGGATAGAAATAGACAGCATTCCACTGTAATGCAAGAGAACTGCAAGAGTCCTATGAAGGTGATCTCCTCTGCTTGAAGTTACGTGTTTTACCACCTAGCAGTTATACCACCGGAAAACTCACATGTGAGCTCAGGGAGACCTGCACAAAGACAGTCAGTACAGCTTTCTGTGTAATGCTTAAAAGTTAGAAATTATCTAAATACCTATGAATATGTAAAAAGATGACTAAATGAGTTATGTTCACATAATAAAAAATTTGAACAGACCAGAATATTAAAATGTTCAAAAATATATGAAAAAGTTCAGCGTCCATTATTCATCAGGGAATGTGAATTGAAACTGCAATGTATTACCACTACATAGCCACCAAATGACTGCAATGAAACAGGAAATATTTACAAGGATATGGAGTAATCTGAACTCGCAACATCAATTGTGAATTGGTACAATCTTTTAAGAAAACTATTGGCTACATAGTACCCAAATAATGTGCATATCCTTTAATCTTGCAACTACAGCGTGTATGTGTGTATTTATATATATGTATATGTATATATATATTTATCTCTAACAGAAGCACATAGATATCTTCTAGAATGTTTATGGCAGCAGTATTTGTATTTGTAATAGTCAAAACCTTGAAAGTACCAAATACCTATCTGTAGAAGAATAAACACGTTTGTTTTTACTGTTTTGTTTCTGTTTTTGCAGTACTGGGGGTTGAACTCAGGGTTCTGTGCTTGCTAGGCAGGCCTTCTACCTCTTGAGCCCCACCACTAGCCCTTTTGATTTGGTTATTTTTAAGACTGTGCTGGCCTAGGAAGACAGGCGTGCATCTTCATTCCCAGCTTTCATTGGTTAAGATGGAGTCTTACAGACTTTTGCTCAGGCTGGCCTCGAACTACAGTCCTCTCATCTCTGCCTCTGAGTAGTTAGGATTACAGGTATAAGCCTGGTCTTATTATATCTTTATAATGAAATACTATGTAGCCCTACTGTAAGACACAATGTGGATAAGTCTCTCAAGCATAATGTTGAGTAAAAGCAACCAAGCACAAAATACAACATATGTATAGTTATATATACATAACCTACAAAACATTTAAAAGTAGTTTTTGTTAGAAGACAAGATAGTGGAGGGAGTGGGACAATGTGTTTTGGGGTGTTAATGTTCTGTTTCTTGACGTTGGTACTGCTTACATGGATTTGTTCAATTGTAAAATTCATTGAGTTGTATTTTTGATTTCTGCTTTTACCTTCAACATAAATTTTTTAAGATGAAAATCAAAAGGTTATTTGTCTCAGGTCATGATAATTTGATATAACCAACTCTACTGCAGTGTTCATCTTTGTCGCGGACAGTATTTGAATCATAGAGCACGGGTGCCTTTTTCTTAGAGACGGCACCGATTGGGTTCTGAGATTTTCTTTACCGATGGTTTATTTTTATTTTCCACCTTTGTTTCATATGGTCTTTCTTCAGATAGCAATTAAAATACTTGGTCAAATTTATCCTCACTAATTACAGTCACATCCTAGCCCTGAGATAACTGCTAGGTAATTCACACAAGTACTTGAGACCATTTTTTTGTTTTGTTATAGAGCTGGTTGTTGACCCTGGGGGAAAGAAAAAGGAAAAATTACTCTTTTTATTGTTGAGATGGTAATTTTTATTTAGCTCCATTACTCATGCCAATCATTTATCATTTATGGGTCTCTGCTTTTCTCATCTGTAAAAATCATGAATCAGTGTTCAACTAAACTGTGATTCACTGAGTTCAGTGATTGACTGTATTATTTAGATTTTTGACTTTCTTTTTTGGGAGTTGGTGTAGTACCGAGAGAGCAGTACAAAAACATTGTCATTTGATAATAACAGTTTATTATAAAATATTATTTTTATTTTTTCCATTACAGGTTACCAGAAATGGAGAGAAAAGTAAGCAAAATCTGTCTTGCTTCTGAACCCAGTGTAATTCATTTTCTACAAGTGTCCTGGGAGAAAACATTAGGATCTGGTTTTGTTATTACACTTACTGATGGTCATTCAGCATGGACTGGGACAGGTAATATTTAAAAGCAATGCATTTAAAGTAAAATTTAACATGCCATTCTTCAGTCCTCAATAGACATGGGTAAAACTAATATTATTAACTCTTATTTGTTAAGACTGTCCAGTTTACACACAGCATTGTAATATTTAATGTCATTTTGTTAATTAATATTAATAGAAATATCAGCATGGACCTCAGCTAATTCTAGTCACCATAGGAGTCTTTGTACTTGTATTTGGTCAGAGTTTTAAAATGATCTCTTTATAGAAAAGAAACAGTACTTTTTCCTTATGTCTCCTCTCAGCATTCCAGGTAAATACTGGGAAGCAGAGAAAATGCATTTATTGGTTCAAGAATTTGTGTTGGATTGAGGGCATGGAGTCATGGTGCTTTTCATTTTACTTCATCTACTTATATATTTAGAATTATTTTCCAAAAAATATGTACTACATTTATAACAAAACAGAACTGTGGTCTAAAATTTTGCAATGCAAAGTTGGGCTTTTTTATGACACAGACTTTAAATTTTTGTAAGATTTTTGTTGATAATCTTTTAAAAATGCTAATGACCCTTAAATAATGTAAAGAATATGTTAGGTATAAAGCAAAAAAAATAGAATTATGTTTTGCTCATGTAGCAAAGTTTTAATATTCTTAAGTATTTTATTGAAATATTTTTAAAAATTCTGTAATTATGCAGGTCATTTCTAGAGTTGTTGTGAATGATATTTCAGATAAAATAAGTTTTCACTAATTTACAGGTTACTTTTACTTCCTCACTTTTGAAATATTTCTCTAATATTTTTACTATAATTACTACATCATTTTAAAGTTAAAATGCATTATGATTTTTTTTGTTTTTTTTGACTTATACAAATTCATAAAACACAGGCAAACTGAATTTATACTTGAGAGTTTATTTTCATTTGTTTTTTATTACAGACTGGGAATGTTGACATAGGGGTTATTGTAAAATAAAGAAATTTCAAGGGTGATGCTTGCAATACTCTTTATGGTGTCTGTGCAAGGTGTAAATTTCTATGTCATTGAAATCAGTTGTTGGAGTGGAAGATGTTTTTTCAGGTTAGCCCTGTGTGTGCTGGAGAATTGTAACCCTGACGACAGTTCTTGTTTTAGATTAAGAAGAATTATTAAGGCTAAAAACAATGGCAGTAGATTAGCGCTGTTCTTTTTTTATTGAAAAGGTATCTTAAATATATAAAAGTGGTTAGAAAAAAATAAGCTGTTTACTTCAAAGTTAGCATATTTTTGAATGAAGACTCCATATTGAATGAAAAACTTTCATATTTACTTATAGTTGACATTAATCATAAACAGCATATTCTATCATTTGTTTTCTAATTATTGGAATTTAGAGTGACAAAAATATGATATCAAATTTCTTTCTTTCTTTTTTTTTTTTGGGACTGGGGTTTGAACTCAGGGCTTCACGCCTGCAAAGCAGGCATTCATTTTTGTTTTCTTTAAGCAACAAGAGTTGTTTTCTGGATATCAAATTTCTTTATTCTCTGGTGGATTGTTGAAACATTTTGATTCCTGTACTAAACAGGCTGTCGAGCAATGAATTTTATAGTATAGATTATGATCATGTTTTTCAAAGATAGTGAATAAAATTTTAAATTTCATGCTTTATGCTTATCATTACTCATTTTTATTTTCTTATTTAAATTTTAGTGACAAAGTACATAAGCAAATAAAAACATTGTTTCTATGTTTAGTTAAGGATTATTACATAAATGTAACGGTACTTTACATATAGACAATGATATGATTAGAAACATTGAAACAATTAAATAATTGAAACATGAAAATAAATTTCCTTCCTATACCTCATCCTGGTTTTTTGTTGTTGTAATAGTTCAACTTTTTGATTGCTGCAACCTTCAATTTGGATAATTTTTTCTTTTTCATTTGAATTAAATTAAAAGGATGTGGAGTTCCTTTTCATCTCCCACACACTAAACTGACTGATTTCTTTCCTATTGGAAGTGTTTTATCTAATGAATGTTTTGGGGGTCTAATTATCTTATGGCCTATCATCACTTCAATATTACAGAGGATTGTATCACAGGGTTAATTTGCAAAGTGAGTTAATGATCTATGTGACTCTCGTAAAAGTTGATGTCGGCAATAAGAAACTTAACATCATCCAACTCTGGAGTAGTTTTAAGTTTATCAAAGAGTGATTCAGGCTTCGTTGATTACTTTATTACCAAATAATAAAACAACTGTCCTAAACACAGATATTGTTTTTCATATGGAAATGATGTGCCAGATCTCAGTGGAAAAGGGATTTTTAATAAATGAAATAATGAAATGTGTTTATGATGTGATAGTATTAAGATTACTAGTGGGATAATAAAGCTGCGTGTCTGCTGAACTCCGTGTAGCTTAGGATAGGTGCACTTTTTTGGTTAGTTGTGCATAGGCAAGAAGGAAAGAATCGTGCTTCATTATGTCTTCATCCACCTACAAACAGTGTTAAACAGACACTTGATTGGCGAGTAGTTTGAGAATAGTTCCTTGTGTTTTGGTTTTGCTCACCTTTTCATGATGTGATTGAGCTTTATTCTTTTGTTTGTTCGTTTGTTTTGTCAGTACTGGGTATTGAGCACTGGGCCTCAACACTTGCTAGGCAGGTGCTCTTCCACCTAAGTCATGCACCAGTCCTTGTTTGCTAAAGTTATTCTCAGGAAGGGTCTTGCAGAGTTTTTGCTTGGGTGGCTTCAGGTCAGGAGATACTCCTATATTTGGCCTCCCACATAGTTGGAATCACAGCCCTGATCTACCATGCCTGGCTTACTGATAGAGATGAGGTCTCCCTAGCTATTTGCCCAATCTGGCCTCAATTTCCATTCTCCTAGTCTCTACTTCCCAAGAAGCTGAGATTACAAACATTAGTTACTTCGCCTGGCCAGTTATAGTTGTGTTTCTTACAGATGTTCTTAGCATAAAATCCAACAGGTGACTCAGTTTGAATAGGTAGTCAAATTTTCACATTGAATTTTATAGGAAATGTATGGGTAATTTTTTTTTAACTAGTACTTCTTTTTACATTGTTTTTAAAGAGAAAGATGACTTCTTTTCATGTATTTTTTTTCTCTCTCCTGAGTACTTCATAATGAGAACAGAATTCATAGGGGGAGGAATAAAAGAGGATAGCTTAGATGATATCTAAAGCATTTTCTAAGATATGAACAGTCAAATGTGAGCTCCACATGACTGGCATTTTTGCTTGCATATTTTTTGTTGTATTCCTGGTGCCTGGAATGATGGGTGGCACATTGTATTTGCTTATGAAGCATTCTATGAATGGAGGAGTTGAAATATTAAATATTAAATATTTTCAGATAACCTTTCATTTTAATGAAATGTAGAATTCTTTAAGCTAGCTGTTTTACCAGTAGGTGGTCTTTATGTTCTAAGTTCTCTAAGTTCTCTTGTAGCTTCATTAAAGATGACATTTATTATCTATTTCCCTGTGAAATATTTTTTCTCCTTAGGTATTAGTAACTTTTAAAAGTAATTCAAACACAAGATTTTAAATTATTCCATAAATAATTTGACAGCATTCCTTAAATAATTAGACAGCATTTGTCATATTTTTAAAGACCTATTAGGGTAGGTCTACTTGAAAATTCAATAGCTTTGCTAGTGACAATGCTCTCAAATATGTATCTACTTCAGAGAGAGAAAAAAGTGAAAGTGTTTTAGAAGCTGTAAAATCATATAGGAGTCTGTGGTAATTTTATCTGTACCTCTGCTCAAAAGCATGTGAAATATGCAAATCATATTTCAGGATCAGAAGTTGTCTTAAAAACTGATCAGGTAAAATATATGGGCACATTATAAGATTCTCTCTTGTATTGCCTGTCATTGGGTCTCCAAATGCTTGATAGGATATACAAAGTAGCCATGAAAAGGTGTTTTTTATCTTAGGGATTCTTTAATTAAGATTTTCTCATATTCTGTAATGTTTCAGACTAATATGTTTTTCAAATCATGGAAGGAAATAATTTATTCAGTGTTTCTGCCTCACCTCAAAACAAAATAACCGGAGAGACCTAAGTATCTATCCCAGCTTTACCACTTAACCTGCTCCATCACCCAACACCATTACTTTATCTCTCTGAGCCTTTGTTTTCTGTTTTGTAAATTGATAGTAACCTCTATCTTTTAATGGCATGAGGAATGAAATAGATAAATGTAACCTAAAAGTATAAAAGTATAGAACCATTTTGGCCTTTTATCATTGTGATAGCCTGAGTTGACACAGGAAATCACCTAACTACACACACATTCCAAAGAAATGTTAGATTAAATTCTGTATTTTAAAAAGCAAACAAATATACACATTGTTGCTTCTTTTTAATTAGCATACATTTATTGTACAAGGGGGTTTTGTTGTAATAATTCCATAGATGTATACAATGTACTTTGAACAAGTTCATCCCCTTTATTATATTCCTATAAGTCACTCCCTCTTTTATATTATTACTTGTGAATTGTAAGAAAAGGAAAACATCAATGCCATGTATGCAAAGATATCTGAAAACCAAAGTCAGTGGTGAGAACCTGGAGCTTCATAGACTATCTGGGCTGTATTTTTCTCTAAGTGACTATGATTTTGATGTCTAAGTGGAGCAAGACGCTGAGACTGCAGGCCTGTGGAGTAATTGGAGCTGAACTCTAAACATAATAAAAGGAAACTGAAAACGTTATCAGCCTAATGAAATCATCTTAAAACCACCACTCTCTGGTTTGTAAATGCACCATAAAATCACACCAGTCCCTAAGGTTTATGACAGAGGAAGAGCTCCCAAAATGTTAGAATCTTATCCTGTTTTATGGATGGAAGGGACTTTAAAATTGAACTTTGTCTCAAGTATAAAACCCATATTAAGAAATTAGCTTTTTTTGTGCTTTTTAATTTATTTATTCATTTATTCATATGTGCATACATTGTTTGGGCCATTTCTCCCCCCTACCTC